CTTCTCTCATTCGTTTGGTAGCTATGGATCAGATAATGGAGAGTTTACGTTTCCAAGTGACATTGCTATTGACAGTCAAGGACTAGTGTATGTTGCTGATGAATTTAATGACCGAATTCAAAAGTTCTCTCCAGATGGAAAGTTTGTGGGTCAGTTTGGCAGTTATGGATATAATCCTGGACAGCTTAACAGGCCAATAGGTATAACAATAGACACTGGAGCTACTGGTCTAGTGTATGTTAGTGAAGGGGGCACTGGTTGTATAGCAGTATTCACTAGTGATGGTGGGTTTGTTAGGAGGTTTGATAAAGGCATGTCACCAGGAACATTAACATTTAATAAAGATGGATTCTTGTATGTTTGTGATTACGGAAATAACAAAATGGCTATTTATTGATTCATTGTGTTGTAGTACATATACATGTAGGTTTTCCCTCTTTTAACTTTTTCAAATAAAGACATTAAAAATCATTCAATTAACTATAGAAGGGTGGGGCCAATTACCATGACAACTACATGTACATGTACATCTACAACAAAATAAGTAATATTTACATGTACACGTACATTGTACTTCGATCTATATGTATTTATTAGAGTTATTTAGCGAAGCAGCAAAATTAGCAAAAATTTACACAAAAAAATTCCATAGAGCACAAGTACATGTACATCATTATTCTTCAATACATACACATAATTATTATTATTATCATTATACATGTGTACATGTACATGTATACCTAATAGCCATTTGTTGTCTTGCTTCAGGTATACAGTCCAGTGAACCAATAGTACCTTTACCATCAGTTGGCATGAAACCAACCAACGCCAATAGCATAGTACGAACTAACGAGGAAAGAGAGAGAGAGAGAGGAGGAGGGAGGATAAAAGAGAAATATATTGCATACATGTACATACATGTATGAACATGTAGTTAGAGAAATAATTACATGTACATGTAATTTTGTAAATTGAGCTAAATTTGCTAATAATAAGACTTTAATTAGCATCTTACATGTACATGTACTTCAAAGGGTGAATCATGGCTGTGGATATGTACATGTACATTTATAGTCAATTATTTAAAATTACAACAGCCAGAAAATTTAAAAAGAAATTTGTCAAACAAATTTTCTATTGCTACAGTACATTGCAAATTAACATGTAGTAAGACTGAAAAAGAGAAAGGAAGAACAAAGACCGATTG